ATGTGGCTAGTTAGTTAGGTATCGTGTACCCCTAGCCGCATTTTAGTGGTGTGCATCGGTTAAGATCGATGAACCCGAAGGACTTTCTAGCATAACTCGGAACCTGTAATGAAAAACTCTGTAAGTTGCCAGTCAACGTTCACGATGTTTAGCAAATAATTAGCGTGCACCACTGGCAACAAGGAATCATCGGCCAAAAGTTGTTTGCACGAATGCGCCTGCGCATAAGTTGCATCTCCAAAGGCCATTTAGATTCTAGAATGTTGAGGAAGTCTGTTCCGGTGGAAAAATACCTGAAAGTTACGTTCATTGTATGTGAGTCAACCTTTTCCACAATTCGCGATTTTTTTCATCCGTTAAGGTATTCAAAGTCGGCGGTGTTTATTCACCTGCAGATTTACTTAAATTAAACAAATCGCCATAGTAAAGGATTTTCAATAATACAGGAGCATGTACCTTATACATAGACATTCTACACTATGAAGTGTCTGAAAATGCAATCTCATTTTGCGAATAGCCAGCGGCTCAAGCGTAGGCTAGGGACGAAACAAACATGATTTGAATGGCTAGAATGCCAGCCAATCATGACCTAGTATTCCCTGTTGGACACGTTTTGGTCCGTCACGAAAAATTATTTCTTGACCCTGTGAAATGTTCCGTGATAACCTTATAGATACAACTGCGATGTCTTCTTCCGTCCCCATAAGTGGCCGTTTGAAGCAACCTGCATTTAACACACCAGAGTGGGTGGTGAATGAAACCGAAAACCGACATAGAAGTCACGCTGTTATCGGCATTTCAGAACCCTTTTACAGGAATGAGGGTCAACCTTCAACCGCACGCATGTTAGAATTCTATTGTTTGATCAACCTAGGAGGGGGAGCTCATTGAATTCTGAAGTTTTGCCATAGCGTAAGGCTTTTTGTGTTTTTACATTCGCAGCCCATCAAATCACGACAAGAGGTGGTTTCTTCACAATGGATCAAATCAATCGTCAAATCACCTTGTCGCTGGTGCATGTAAGCTTATATAAGTGTTTGTCTGGATCTCGGTTGAATGTAGTGCCCACAGCACCACATGGACTCTTACGAACTCCTCAGCCTTGCGCCAGCTAATATTGAGGGAAGGCAACACGGCAGACATCTGCAATATGCAGCGCACTGTAGTGATTACCAGCCAATGGTTTTATGAGTCAATATCGTTCTGGTGCCAAGGTTGCAGATGTGGCGCACTAGGAAGTTCAGTACAAGAATGTCCGTGGCCTAACTTTCGCACTTTGAAAGGCCACAGAAATGTCCTGATTGACGCCAGCAATGGACTGTTACTCATCCAGGTAATTCCCAGTCGCCGATTAGTCACTTATTCATTGAACTGCAGTGTCAATATTGCCTTGGTTAGATATGAATTAAGCCAGCCGGAAAAGCTTTCAGCCGATGAAGACATTCTCTTTCTGCTCTGTATCTATGATGTTTTGGGCACCGTCCCATGGCAGTCCCTCATTATCTGCCCATAGTAAAAAACGTATTCCATTTCTCTGGTAAACCAACTTTTTCATTAGATCCAACATAACCCATACGCCTTGGCTTGCTGGTCAAGTGCATGTTACCAAAGCTCTGCATCGGCGAAATTTAAACAATAGAACTGCTGCCCACTCATTAGCGCGTTCGAGCGTACTGATATCATTCTTGTTGGATTCATTGAACTCGGACGCTCATGCACCTCAACTGTTCCTCGTACTCGTAGGAAGTGCTATTCCACGTCACTTGGGCACGTATGATCGGCCATACAATACCGCACTGTTTCTACCTTGGAGATACGATGGTCGAAATTTTTGAGCGACGTGTGTGTCCACACATAGAATTTAAACTAGCTTTTTTCTCTTTACACTCTAAGCTTCAGGCGAGCAACTGAAAAGTTTAAGTGATTCCTCAGAAAAACACTGACGCCGCAATCTAGACCTTTAGCCTGCCGCTCAGCCCGCATAATTTTGGGCTGAGAACTAGGGTTGCCCAGGTTGTCTAATCAGAACCCCACCTTACTGTAGCGCTAGGTGGACTAAAATGTTTGATTAGCACAGGCTAGGCACCAAGCAAATTTAAGTGTTTATCGTAATAAACACTCACTGTGAATGACTATCGCCTTAATCCGCTGCCCCTACTCTTAGGAGGTAGTTACAAGGCACCAAACCCAGCTAAATAATTCAGTGATTCTGCCAAACTAGACCTCGGAAAACCTGTTGTCGCTAAAGCATTCTGATAACCCGTTTCTACTTTTCTCCCTCTTGCGAAAGAATATACCAGTGATTGCCCCGTTTACCCGTCTGAATGGCAGTACTGCTGTGTACCAGCACGCTACCCAATCAGTAAATTCAAGAACGCTCGCTACGTACTGCTCCCGCTTGTCCACAATTCCAGAGCTACCCCCCCCACAGTAACCATAACCACCTCAAAACCAACATATCCATCTACGAGGTCATCCGTGAACCAATGAATGGCATCACGAACATCATACCATGGCTGTGATTCTCAATCAGATGGTTTGCCCATGTTTCGCTACCCCTCTTTTACGCCGCTGGCTATTCGCACAATGAGATTGATTTCTCGAAATCTACGGCATTTTCAGACTTGCCACTTCATAGTGTAGAATGTCTATGTATAAGGTACATGCTCCTGTATTATTGAAAATCCTTTACAATGGCAATTTGTTTAAGTGAAGTAAATCTGCAGGTGAATAAACACCGCCGACTTTAAATACCTTAA